TTTAACTATCGTCTTAGTCTTAATGATAACAAATATGTAGGTATAATGTTTGGTCCAATGACACAAAGAGAAATATTTGTGAGAAATTTTGTTTATAGGATCACCATAAATAATTCTTCAATAGAATTAATGGTAACTGTAAAAAGCTAGGCTTACATATACATTATAGATTAAAACTTTTGCGTTCAACGATTTGATGTTCATATAGATAAGTGTTTACACTAAATTAACTAAGCCCTTAAAAATGTATGTGGCGTTATCTCACTTTAATTGTTGTAATACGTTTATAATTCATGTGTCATGAAACCTGATAGTTCCCGTATACAAAAAATTCAAAAGTCTTGCCGGCTTTTGATACATACATAGAAATCAACAAATAAGTTACAAACTTAATAACACTGTGTTGTTAAGTATGCAATTCATATAATATTCTTATCCAGCTTGGCAATGTCAAACAAATATTATTTTCAAAACCTCATGACATCTTTATGCATATTATAAAATAAAAATAAATAAAATAAAATTTCATACTAAATATTATCAACCGTCAAACTGCTGTTTGACGTTTTCATAAAGTTGTATTAGGCATACTGCACACGAAGCGTATCGTCATAGACGCATATTGATGCGACGTATGAAAAGCATACGCTTTCGTGCTGCTCACTTGTGTCTTTATGGAATACTGTATACGAAGCGTAAGCGGCGCGGAATCGTTAACGCAGACAAGCTTCAAGCTGCCAGGCATACAACGATGTCAGTCGTCAGTCGTTTGCAGTACACTTTAAGCTCGCTACACATATACGAGCCAAACGGTATGCGAACGCTATATTCGTTAATGTGTACGGCAGAAAAAATCCGCTTGCGTACTATTTGATCGTGACTCGTCGCGAACCAAATTGTTGCGGTTTATTCAACTTCAAAAGAAGCTTGTCTTTCAGTTTGGACAGCGCACTATAGACGCAGCGAACATTTTTATTGTCTCATCGACAATATCGACGAAATCGACATTGTGTGAATGACGTGTTCCTTCCTAGAGAGACGTGAGAAAACAGTAAACTGACTATTGTACATATTTTTATTTTTGTAAGAAACATAAACACCATAAAGCAGTAGGTACCCAAATTATAAATAAAATAAATCATTTGGCTCGCATATCTGTACGCGCCTTTAGGTTAAACACACAGGGCGGCCTGTGGTTTATAGTGGTAGTAGTTTTGCTATTGTATTCGTTGTTGTCAAATTTATTCGAGTTTTGGGGGTACGATGATGTCTCTAGAATCATCTAGTGAAAGTGACGATAATTTATTTTTCCTAAATAAATTATATAAATTACATAAATAAATTAAGTGCAAGTTTACTTCATATTAGATAAAAGAAGAAGAAACGCAGGTATTGGATATACCCTATAGTAAATGAATTAAAAATAAAAAAATGTTTTAAACGTTCTTCTTAAGGTGCATTCTCCATTACTGAAGGTTGGCCATAACTACAGCAAATTGCTTTCTATCTTGAGCTGTTCTTAGTAACGAATGTGTGTTCATACCTGTCCAGTCTCTTACATTCTTCAACCAGGAGCATTTTCTTCTTCCTGGACCTCTTCTTCCTTCCACTTTCCCTTCCATTATAACTCATAGGAAGTTATATTTTTCTCCTCTGTAAATATCTTCTCGATAACTCGTTTTCCTGTTTTTTACAATATTTAGGAGTTCTCTTTCAGAACCCATTCTTCTTAGCACTTTGTTGTTAGTCACGTGCTCTGTCCAAGAGATCTTCAGCATCCTTCGAAAAACCCACATCTCAAAAGCTTCTATACGCCTCATACTTGTAATTTCGAGAGTCCATGTTTCCACTCCGTATAGCAATATGGAATAAATAAACGTTTTTACAAATTGGTATCGGATATCCAACGATAACGTAGAGTTTATTAGAAATTTTTTCATTCGTTGAAATGCGGACCTAGCATATTCTATACGAGCACGTATTTCGTCCTCGTGGTCAAGGGTGCACGTGTAACAGTCATTACTTTTGTTTTATTTGTGTAACGTTTTTTTAAACGTTAGTTAACGAAATTAAAGATGGCTCAAAAATAAAAACGAAAGAACACTGTGGGTAACTTCTTTTCAAGCATGTTTTTTCTTTATTTTATTCGAATATTCATTTGAGCGCATATCCCAAATTGCTGGCCGTGTGTGAATTTCCGTAATTAATTTATCGATGTCCATAGCTTCCATAATATATAGAAAATTTGGCAAACACTCACAAAAGTAATCAAATAAAACCGTTGCAAAACAGTTACACATCTGTGTTGAAGCACGAAATATCTATGACTGATGTGCCGCCAGCACTCATAAAACTGCCGACGGCGCATGGTACTCAGCATAGACACGCTGCAGCCGACGCGGCGAGCTGACAACTGAGTACTGTATACAATGCACCATCCTTTTTTCAAATAAAATTGTGTATTACACAAGCACACTGAATTATTGAGATAATGGTTTCGTACCGTCGACATCTGATACAAACCTGAAATTTTTGAGTCATCATTCCAAATGTGGCCCAACACCGAAAGGTACAAATAGGTGTACTGACTAAGTAAAGTATTCCAAATATGCACTCTACAGTTTTTCCACCTCGACTAAGTCTGTAATTGAAAATTCGCTTTTTATTATCGATATATCCTTCAGGGTATGGTCTCATGACATTTTTTCTTAAAGGAAATGCTGCGTCTGCTGCAGAATAGTATAGGAACTTATTGTCGCTTTCGTCATGAGGAAGATCAGTTGTCGGTGGTAAAGTATTGTTAGTTTCCAACCAACGACCAAATGTCGACACCGGAAAGATGGTGCCGTCACTATTTCGTTCAGGACACCCACATTCTATTGAAGTAAAGGTATCATCAGCATCACAGCAACCCAGTAAAATAACAGAATAATAATTTTTATAATTAAAATTTGAAGATCCTGAATTTGGATATTTTGTAATTATAATGTGTTTTCCATCGACCGCCCCTAGATAGTTTGGTAATTGCCATAATTCAAAAAATCTCTGTACTATATCTTTCCATTTTTCTTTATTTGGTATAGTTCTTTTAACGAATTCCATATGGCATTTGTAGTTATTTCTATAATTAACCCAATGGTAAGTGTACCTCTTTGAAAATATAAAGCTAGGGCAGCAAATGTGCAGTCAGTAGCTAAATACCTGAAACAAAAACAAAAGTGAAAATATATAGCAACTGAATTTTAACTTGTATACATTTTCTAACAACATTTGCAATGGGTTTATCCGGAGCCTAAAACCATCCCCATATGACTCTTCAGCAAAAGCAAAAAAACCTTACTAGTTACCCGATGTTATGTAGTTTGTATTGCCATATATTAGAACGGTCCAACATTTAGAAAATACTGGAAATATTTCGCTACCACACACTGAGGTATTGACGCAGCCAGATGAAGACAAATCATCTCAAGCACTGCCAAACGAAAACATAGCTAAAAATAATACTGAAGAAAATAGTAACAATTAAGTAATCGAATCATCAAAACGTGTTCAAGAAACTATCTCTATCCAGAGAAAAAAGAAAAAATGTATTATACAAGGTGACCCTGTTGATCAAGCAGTTTTACAATATGTAAATAAAAAAAAAAGATATGAATACCCTGGAATGATCGAAACCAGATGATGATCAAAAGATGTTTCTTTTAAGTCTACTACCTGATGTAAAAAGCCTATCTGACAAAAATTTACAAACGTTCAAAACACAAACTCCAACGTTAATCGAACTATTAATTAGACAACAAGAACAAAATAATCTAACTCAACACTTTCCGATACACGATACTTCAAGAATAGACTATCACCACACGAATCAGCATCACACACCTCAAGTGGATTTTCAATGAAAACAGTCGGCACACCCGATTCTTCGCCAATGATGTTGCCACAACTTAATTTCATAGAAGTAATTGCAGCACAGTTACTACTGATGATTTCTACTCCTTGGACCAATATGCAACAACATAGTTTCTTACAAATAATAATGTAATATTTTATTAATAAATATACCTCGATATAGTAACTCTTTTACTTACCTAAGTGTTATCATAAGTCTTTCTTCTGAACTAACACACTCACGCATATTAGTATTGTGCTTTTGAATGGTAGGGCCTACCATTATCACCAATTATTTGAACATATTTTTAGATATTCTGTAAAATGTGTGAAATTTAGAGTAATCTTTCGACAACTCTTTGGCGGCAATAAATAACAATCTGTTGTAGATTTTGTAGATATAAGGATACACCCAAGATTTCCTCTGTTTCTTTTTTTGCGGTGGAGAAGATAAGTTAACAAAGATGAAGTCCTTTTTATCACTTGACATCTTTGCAACTACTGTAAAAGCATGAAAACCCTTAAAGCCACATACCGCTTGCAAATCGAATCGTTTGCGGATTTTAAGGCGTAAAGGAATCGTCGCTGCATGACGAAACTTATACGCGTCTATGATGATACGCTTCGTGTGTAGAATGCCTTAATGGAATTTGAAAGCAATGTATTTTATGTTGCTGAAGTTCTCAAGACATTACACGATAATAAATTACAAGTCTCATTTAAAAGAAAAGGCTGCAGTAGCAAGGTCAGACGTTGTATCGATTTTACTAAAACCAAAAAAATGAAGATAAACAAAACAAGCTCATTGCATCTCATTTCAAATTTGATCCGTTGAGTTTGACAGATCCGTTTAAGATCCGTTAAGTAACTCTTCATTTCATTCTAATATTTCGTAATATTTCGTAAACCATAGTGATTCCCCACACAATATGTCTTACGTGCTGTACTGAAAACGGACATTACATAAAACATGAGGAAAAATTATATTGAAGTTTGTAATTAATAGTTCAATATTATTTAATTTAAATTCCAAAAAAAAACGAAACCAATCAATTCAATAATTTAAATAATTTTAGTTCTAAAAATTGTTTTAAAATAGCTTTCCCTACCGTTTCTTTGCTAACTCTGATATAGCTTTAATTAAAGGTTCTTCACTTTCACTAGTTTCGTCATAGTTTATCACTGGTTTTTCTAAAGGTTTATTTAGCCTGCTTCTACGTTCAAATTCCTGTAAAGTTCTTTGTACCCTTGATTTGTTTCGACTTTGTAATTTCTCTTCCAGCTCTTGTACTAAATTTATATAATGATTACTATTTTGATAAGGAAGCTCATTGTATCTAAAATAATAAATAAATGAATGTAATAACTAACGAACAAATTAAGTTTTAAAAGTAACTTTATATAATGATTATTAGTCTGATGAAATGTACTTTGCTACTTCACTTTAGTGAGCTGTAGGTGATTGAGTAGTTTAGTAAATATCACAGACGATTTGAATCCTTTCGATCGAATGGCTTTCGATAACATCCAAATCGAAGAGTTTTTACACCTACTGTTTAAAAGAAACATACCAATTAATATTATACAAACCATCGAAAACATCTACGTTCATAATCGAATACAGGCAAAGATAAATGGAAAACTAACACAGTGTATACCAGTACAAAGTGGAGTCAGACAGAGTGACTCGTTAAACCCACTTCTCTTTATATAATAATGGACGAAATAATACAAGCAGTACGTAAAGGTCATGGCTACAGGGAAAATAATGGGAAAATAATATAACAGGAAGCAAGGTTTAGGTATCTGAGAATAGATATAACTAGTTACGGAGATGTTGAAGAAGAACTACGACAACAAAGCTTAAAAGCAAGTAAAGCAGCGGGTTCTCTTAATGACACAATCTGGAAAAACAAACACCTAAGACAAGACACAAAAACAAGAATCTATAAAGTAGCAATTAGACCAATATTAACACACATGACGGAGACAAGACCTGACACCTCTAAAACGAGACAACTGCTAGAAACAACAGAGATGAAAATACTCCGACGAATATCAGAGAGAAGTCTGTTGGATAGGAAGAGAAGTGAAAACATGTCATAGAAGAGCATGTCATATAGAAGACATAAATGGATGGGTGACAAAACGAAAACAGGAGTGGAACGAACACATCAGTAGAATGGCAGAGGATAGAATAATACGAATAGCACGAGATCATGGTCACCAAATGGACGACGAAGTATTGGCAGACCAAGAAAAAGATGGTGCGACAATTTAAACAATTTAGGCTAATATTGAAGAAGAAACAGGCTTTAAAGCCTACATACTAGAAGAAGAAGAAGAAAATTTGAATCTCAGGTAAAGGAGGAAGACAATTGGGGTAAGACATAATCTTTATAAAAAATATTACTACCGATCTAAACTAGCTTTAGAATCTCGATGTATTACGTGGAATACGACATAAGCAAATGAAATGGGTAACAAATATTAAATGCTGTAACATACAAGGATTAAGTATAAAAAAAATATTTGGAGAACTCCACGAATCCTACATTGACATTGCTGTACTTGGCGAAACAAAAAAAAAAAGACAAGGTAAATAAACGATTGGAAACATTTACCTCGTAATATCAAAAGAAAACAATCCTATGATCAAACAACAATTTGTTTTTAACCCATTTAATTCGATGGGAATTAAAACCGGACATGGTGCACTGGGTGTACACCATTGTGATCAAACCCTCAATTACCAATGCAGCAACGATGTGGTTGACTAAGAGCTAAAGCCAAAATCAGTATGGTGTATGGGGATAGCTCGTGGCATGCGTACTACTCCAAGAGCAGCTATAGAGGCTCTACTAGGCCTGCCTACCATGCATTTAATAATACAAGAAAAAACAAGATGGGGGACCTACAGAATAAATCAATCACTGAAATTTTGCAATGAAGGCACAGGGATATGAGTATCACAAAAACTGACGAAGTACATTTTTAATGAGAAACCAGATTACGTTAAAAAATGCAATTTTAAGAAATCATACAGGGTGTCTATTGCAGACAGGAATGTATGGAGAAACATAAAGTACCAGAACCAACAGGGTAATATCTGGTATAGGTACAGATAGATCCAAAACTACAGAAGGTGTGATGGGAGGAATATACTTCAATAATCCAAGAAGTGGCGAAAGCTTTACTTTAAGGAGCAGCTGCACCATTTTTCAAGCAGAGGTTTATGCAATGTGCAAAAGGAAATAATGAAAGAGCTCTTGAAAAAGATCAGATGCATATATTTTCTGATAGTCAAGCGGCACTGAAGGCACTGGCGTGCCAGGAAGTGACGTCTAGCCTGGTGGTGGGACTGCATCAGAGAACTGAATAAACTGGGAGATCAGAACAAGATTGAGCTTGTCTGGGTACCAGAACATCAGGGCATCAACGTAGCTTAACTTGTAAAAAGAGAATCCAACGAACTAAACAAACATAGACATAACAAAGGCTGCAGTTTACAAGGAAAAATTTTCATGGTGGACCATGCAGAAAAATAACAGAGGAGCAGCTTCATATGGTCAGAAACAAACTAAGATCAGTAACAGGAATATTGATCAGGCATACACCAGTAAGGGAATTCCTGAATAAAATAGGCATTTAAGACCGTAACTGCAGACTCTGTTATAGAGAACTAGAAACTAAAAAACATTTATCATGCGACTGCGAGGCGTTGGACTGTAAAAGACAAAAATTGCATGAGCAACCAAGAGAAGATCCTGGTATATTTAAGACACACCAAACAGAAGACCTGTAAAACTTCTACAGGGTACAAAATAGGCTTTAGGTTCAGTGATAATGAAGATCTTTTTAAACACACGGTTCCAGTGAGAAAAAAACCCATCTGATCCCACATTTTCTTCTTCGATAATACATTTTTTTAATGCCCTTGTTGAACCTGAGCTAAATAGAAAAAAAGCATTGTTATTTGACATAAGGACGTTTTATTAGGAATGCAAAAGCAAAAGAGTTGTTAATTACACTAAAAACAGTCAAAATCGAATACCTCAGACACATCATGAGGAGCAGGAAGGCGAAGTATTTCCTGGCTGAAAAATCTACGTACGTGGTTTAACACAACAACCATAAATTTTTTAGAGCAGCAGTTTTCAAAACTTGCATGATGGTCGCCAACATTCGCAACGGATAGTCAGTACAAGAAGAAGAAGAATTTTACATAAAAATTGAATTTTGTGCTCATACGAATACAATGGGCTGGTCGGGATTTAAAAATATAAAACTGCGTAAAAATGCAAAGGTTTTATTTTCTTACGATATAGGTACATACTAATAGGGTATATTCTGTATCATTTTACCGAGCATAAAATAATTAAGACACGTATTGAAATAACACGTGCAACATTCATTAAACTTAAAAAGTTTCTTTGTTGTCGGGATATAAGGTTAGAACTACGCCTGAGAATGCTTAAATGTTACGTGTTCTCTACTCTTCTTTATGGCGGAAGCGTGGACACTAAAACAAGTCCATCTGAATAAGTTGGCCGCCTTTGAATTTTGGTGTTACAGAAGAATCCTACGAATATCATGGATTCAAAAATATCAAACGTGAAAGTAACTAGAAGGATAGGAAATGAGGCGGAAATAATATTAACTATCAAAAGACGAAAACTTGAGTACTTAGGACATGTGATGAGAGGGCAAAAATACGCATTATTATAACTTATTATGCAAGACAAAATCCGAGGAAAGCGAAATGTGGGAAGATGAAGAATATCCTGGCTTAAGAACTTAAGGGAATGGTTTGGATGCAGTAGTGCAAAACTTTTTAGAGCGGCGTCAACAGAGTCCGCATAGCCATGATGATTTCCAACCTTGGATAGAAGATGGAACTTACAGAAGAAGAGCATAAAATTGTACAAAATAATCACGTTTCAAACACATAGTACTGTCACACTTTATATAAGTCCAACGTACCCTTTAATGCCATAACCGACATCGCAGTTGTTTGATTATTTTCTTTGGAAAATGGCTGCATTCATCCATTTTTATACTAATTGGTACAGATCCTGCTAGTTCTTTTCTAGAATAAGTAGATGTTCCGAAGGTTTTTAAATAATGACGTACTATACCTCGTTGAAAAGCCAACAATCCATTTCTTTATTTCCAGCTAATATTTGTCACCTACACGAGTTACTTAGAGTCCAGTTGAGCATGTGGGTAAAAATTGGCCACATTGGAACCACAATTAGTTCTATGACTAGAAAAGGGATGTCTTTATTTACTTTATCGATTATCAAAAGGCTTTTGACTATGCAGAACGGAGATTGGTCTCGATGGAACATATATAAAGATGATCCAACAATCCAATAGCTGTACAGTATATGCAAAACAAGTAGAAATAAGTATGAGCAAAGACAAAGACAGGGCTGTATCCTCTCCCCTCTTTATCATCAGACATAAGACACTGGTGCGACATTGTTCCTATTATTAGTATAATAGCACAATTGTTAAGTATTCGGTAGCTTCAGCCACAGATGTTGAATTTTTATATAAAGGATACTTTTATATGAAATGACAAGAAATCAGGAGAATTTTCTTCGATAGCGAATTAGGTGAACCACAAATCCAAGCTTACTGGGAGCTATTGGTATTGGGCGATGTTAGGAATAACCTTTATTTCCGATAATATATCTGCAAGTTTATCATCAAAAAACACTATCTTTTGCTGTGTTTACGTAAATCAAAGAACTTAAAATGAATTATTTCAATTCGAGTTTTATAGAGCTCCAATAGCTTCCTGTCAGCCTGGATTTGCGGTTCACCTAATTCGCTAACAAAGGCAAGTCTGCTAATTTCTTGTTGTTTCGTATGGAGGTCACGGCTAGCATACTCGGGCATGTTATGTTACTAGAACGCTAAAATAGATTGAATTTCATTTAAATTTTAGCTACAAGTGTTTTTATTGAGAGTTAAACAACTCGAGACACATGTAGAACAATGGTGGAACTCAAAGTGAAAAGAAATGGAATCGTTTACTTTCATTTTAACGATAATTGTATTGTTTATAACTGGATGATTATGTATTTTTTATAAGTAAAATCGATATGTACACATTTTCCTTTATTGGTTTTTATTCTTCATTTGTTATTAAGAATATTTATTTTGTTTACTGCATTTTGGAAATGTCTGATGGTTTCACTTCAAAGTTTGTTAATTTGTGCGATAAGAAACGTCCAAAAAAGAAAAGCGGGAGGTCGTAAAACGAAAAAGTTAACCTTGGAGAAGTTTAGGAAAATAAGGAAAATTCAATTTTGGAAAAAACAAACGCAGTTCAACTCTAAATTTCCTTTTCTTTTTGCTTATCGCATATGACATTTTCAGTACACAAAAAGACATAAGGGATAAAATCGTGGTTGAACTTCGTATTGAATTTGAACTGCCTAGTCGTAGATTCAATAACATTGTAGCGTCGATGTGTAATAAACATCCCGTACACACATTAAGTTCAAGGCCAGAACAGCTCAATTCGGAGAGAAATTGCGGGGTAAGGTCAAGTGTATAGAAATTACATAATATCTCAAAAATCCAAACACAATCAGATAATCCGAAATTATAATTTATTATTGGACGCCACCCCTTGTTTATCCTCGTAGGAGACGAGAGAGAATAAAAAATAAGATATACAGAAAATTTACAGCGAAATTACACTTTATTATTTCTCAATAGTAAAAAGAAACATTAAAAGTTATTTTATTTCCAAAGGATACTAAAATACCATTTCATAATAATTACATTACTATAAACAAAACAACTTTATATCTTTTTAAATCAAGATAAAAACAAATGAATTTATATATTATTTCCAAATTTCGAAATTCGTTTATATTTAAAATATTATAGTAGTTCTTTATTAACTAGGCATAATAGAAAAGTTAAATCTTTAAACAAAATTTAAAACACTGTTATATTTTCTTTCTCTGAGTCCATAATTATTTCTCGCTTTCTCGATAGGGTATAATAAAAAAATAAAGGTACAACCTTAATCGTCCATTAGATGGCAACCATACACAAAGGATATGTTCTGCTTCCTCTCAACCTCCAAGCATTTCATTAAATTAGTTATTAGGGGTCCATTTAGATCATAAGGAATTATTGGGCTGCGTTTACGACAGCATAAGACTTCTCAGTTAACTTTGAGCCAAATAAACATAATTAATGATCTTTTATTGTCCCCGGTAAAAAAGGTCTCGATATAGAGACCACTTCACAAAAACACGTCCTAACAGTTGGATGTTTGTAAAAGAAAAAAGACAGACGCTATCATTTCCCGGTTTGAATTGGGGCGTGATTGACAAGTTAATAATCGTTCTCATCTATCGGATAGGTTTAGAATTACAGTAGAAACCTTGAGTTGGCTACAAGTACCCGGCAGCTAGATGAGGTTAGCAAATTTATTTAAAAAAAAATAATCGAATTTATAATGAATTTCCTAAAACTTTTGAAACGGTTACAACATATACACACGTACGGATATACTTTCACAATCCACACAAACAAGCCATCTACTATTTTACTAATACTGTAATAACACTAAAATATATGTTCAAATAAGCTTTAATTGTAAAATACTAACCTTGATAGTACGCGTTCTGAATCGTCCGAGTCGAAAAATTGATCGCTTTGTTCTTCTATTACTAGATCTAAGTCATCTTCTGAACAAGACACATCATATTCAAGAGGTGGTGGAACAGGAACTACTGGTATATCCCCTCTTTTTACGCAACACCTAGACAAATTTGAGAAAAAATATAATTAGCACCACAGACAAAAGAATAATAAATAATATATTTTTTTACTACCAAAAAAAAAATAAGCAAAACCCAATGATTAATCGAGTCAGTTTTAATAGTGGTGATCCATCTGGGTTATTTCAATATTGGCATAAGCTTACGACCCTCTTTATGTTTGCAAACTCATTTTACATATCAATTGTCACATATCAAATCTTTATAATGAAATATTATTTTATTATGGATATTATATAAATTTTTAATAGTACAATCTAAGAATAATCCTAGAAAAATCTAATGTCAGAAAACTATTACGTTAAATTATTATTACACCTTATACCCCAGTCGTCCAGACGAAAATGCCACTGAACCTGTAAAAATCATACGAACTAGCTGAGTTTTGCTAAGAATGTAAATTTTAGGACCCCAAAAAATACTGAAGAAAGTTTACCATATGTACACCGGTCTTTCCCCTAAAAGCACCATCGTAGAAGGAGGAAAACGGAAAAAAATCGATTTACCAAAAATCTGTACGCCATAGAAAAAATATTTTAAATAAAACATGTAGCTAAGATAATTTTGAACAAAAATGTTTATTTGGATTAAACAACAGATAACAAACATTTTTAGATCGGTTTCGCGCGCATAGTTCAATAGAATTTGTATTAGCTATATGGTAAAAATTTAATATCTTTTGATCCGAGTGTCCTATCCACAACAATGGTCTCAAAAATGTCGGGTGTATGAGGTAGTTAAACTTTTCTACATATTTTTTGGGGTCCCAGAATGACATTCTCAGCAACATTTAGTTAATTGGTCTCGTTTTTAGAGATAAAATATCTGACGAGTGGACTATTACTTATTTTAACGTTTTTAGAACGTGTAATTTACATTTTATAGTAGCAGCCTGGACACGTATATCAAAATAAAATGTATAAGAATATATAAATCACAGATAACTGTATTATTAAAAACTGTAAAATTTTATCAAATACTAACCTACAAGTACCCGTACAATAATCACCCCTTGCATTTTCTGCATTGGGAATAATAGGATTGTGGTATGCATGTTCCTTCGTAGTGTTCCTAGTTTTATTGTTTTGTGGCAAAAAACTATTCTTGTTGTAAAAATTAGGTTGTTTAAAACTGTTAGACATATTGTTTTTTAAACCATTATTTTGTATTGGACTTTCACAATAAATAATATTTTCAGAAGTTTCTTTAAAAATCCCTTTTGATACTGGCTGATTTCTGGAAAGTGAAATTTCGTTCGCAAAATCATAGTCCTCTTGTGGTGATAAGATATATCGTTTTCTATCAGTATTTCTGTCTAAATGGTACCTTTTGTGACAAATGGTTTTAATGGGAAGATTTTTTAAATTCTTTGATCTTACTACATTTTGAATTGGAACATGTTTTTCAGGTATCGTATATTCAGGCGACAAAATATGTTCACGATCTAAATGTTGTTCTGCTTTTCGAATTTGCTTTCTAAAATTTATTTAAAGATTTTATATGACTAAAGTATTATATATTTATTTATTTAATTTTGATTATAAAAAATATATGCTATAGTAAATTTTAATGGTATAATCTATACTATAGACCAATGTCGCAACTCTTGGCTTAAAGACGTCGTGAAGACGCAACTCTTGGCTTAAAAATCTACGGCAATGAACGAACATGACCTCCATAGAACTATTCATGGCTGCTACAAATAAGATTAAATGGGCAAATGTAATGGCCAACGTGTTTAAGGATAAGGCACCGTAAGAAGAAGAAGATAGACCAATGTTTCCCAACCTTTATGGGCCATGCTTCAATTTAGCCTTTTTAAAATTCTTATATCCCCTTATGTAACATAATAATTTTTAATATTAAAAAATTTAATTGCTCACTCAAGAAACTGAAATAATAGGTTTTAGAAAAAAAAAATATTTTGAAAATTGTTAACAAAACACAGTAAAAACATTTTAAAAAACTGAAATTCAGTCCAAATAATTTGAACAAAGCTATTTCTCCATTACTTCTCCAGTATTTTAATGTAGTAAGATCCTTGTGCTTCATGCTTGCTGCATATAGATTTAAAATTAGATTCCAATTCGGTTAGCTCCTGTCTCAAGTCTACAGAGTCTGTGAGAGAGAAAGGTCCTGGTAGGACTGGTGAACTGTAAGGTAATAACAAACAGATATCGACCAATACGCTGCCACTCGTGTCTAGACTTCGGGCATACCAGGGACAAATGCAAAGAAAGGTATGTAAGAGGGAAATGTCTGAACTGCTGTGAGGAAGGACACAGCGCTAGGGATTGCAACAATATGTCACATTGCGGAATCTGCAGCGAGGACAGGCTGTCGCCTTAGAGTTGCCTTATAGGAGAAATTAAAATGGCAATGATACCGACAAGTAGAAAGGTGGTAGAGTGGGATGTCCTGGATAAAGAAATATTCACTTATCATAAGTACATTTTGTTTAATATTAGAGGACACGTAACAAAACCAAGGAAGGAAGGCAGGTCGACATATCTTGACAAGAGAAGATTCAAAGATGAAATCCAAGGGATGGAGAGTCAGTCCGACCTTCAAGACAATAAAAGATGTGGCAGAAAGGTGCAGCCATGAAGAAAAAGCTAGTGTGAGAAATAAATGGCGAAAAAAAAGACATTTGAAAGAACTTTGCGAAAATCTCTGGACAGGAGTCTTCCTTAAGATCGGAAAGAGGCGAATGGAAGAACTGGCTAAGGCTCTTTGTCCACAGAGAGAGGAATTAAGCTTTACACCACTACAAGTGGAAACACCCGTGTCTGAATATACGACGAAAGAAGTGACGGAAACTGGCAAAAACCTTCAAAGCAGGAAAAGCGTCTGGAACTAAAAAGGTAGCATTTGATATACCCGGTATTTAGGTGGCACACGCCCTTCGGGTAGGGATTTATGGAGGAGTATCACCGAACCACAAGCCCTTATTACTTGCCGTACTGCTCCATTATAGGCCGATCAGATACCAGCATATTCTAGACTAAGCCGCAGATTCATTTTAGAATTTTAAACTGCTGCGTTAGCCTTTTTGTTTTCTGTACACCTAGCTGGGGATTGAACTGACATCTCTCGCATTGAAGCGAAGGAGAAGCCAGCCACCCAGTTCGCTTGGTTATCCGATCGAACATATCATATGCCTATTAAATACTTTACGAAAGGTCTTTAAGATATCTTTGGTTTTGTGAAGAAAAGTCTGTAGAGGGAGATAATGGAGAAAGGTAGCATATCTGACCACGAGTATGGGTTCAGGAAAGAAAAGACAACATAAGCAGGACCAAGAGAGAGGTATATAGAAGCAGGTGGATGGTGGCTTCCTTTCTCGATATAAAATACTTTTAATAGTGCTAGCTAAAAAATTATCGTCAGACTACTAGGTGACTTGAAGATATCTCCCTATCTGCAGATGTTGGTCAAGAATTACTCCGCGGATAAGTGCATCAATATTGCGAGAGGTAACTCTATGAGGACCATGACAGGAGCGCCGCAGGGCTTTGTTCTGGGGGAAATGTTTTAAATGTTGTTTACAACGAGATTCTGAAGGCTGGCCTGGTGGTGCTGGTAAAGCACAATGAAAACCAGTTAATCATGCATAGAACGAAGCGAGCCCTCTATAAAGTGAAGATATAAATAAGAAGCAGGGACGTCATACTGTCGGCCGAAAAGACTGTAAGTAGTCCTGGTTACAAGACGAGCCCTTGGTGAGCACGTGAAGTATGTCGTTCGAAATGCTGAAGGTCGAACTTCGGCGCTGACAAGGATTATGCCCAATGTGTTAGATCACGGACTACCAAAAGGAGAATTTTAATGGAAGTGGTCCACTCTACTATACCCTATGCGGCACCGATATGGCAACAAGTGCTTAACATCAAGAAATATAGGAGAATGCTAGAAGACGCTCAAAGAAAAGCATAAAAAGCGTGGCATGAATATAGAACAAAATTACTGGTGGCCATACAAGTGATCTCAGGGATGTTGCTCATCGACTTGGTGATGAAGGAAAAGGTGGAAATCTACAGGAAGGATGAGCAGGAAAAAATAGTAACTAGGAGTAGCAGCATAAAGTAGTGGCAGGAAGCATGGACAAACGAGAATAGGGCTGTCTGGACAAGGGTACTAATTCCAAATATTGCAGACTGAATAAAATGCAGCGACAGGGACACTTACTACTTTTTCATCTAGTTCCTAGTGTCCGATACGGCCGAGCACTGTGTATTCGAGTGCAGAATTGTCAATGACGAAAGAAATTAATTACATAGGAAGGTAGGTAAGATAAGCTTAAATACAATAATGTAGGTAGCACTGAAAGGAAAGACCGAATACAAGGCAATACTGGAGGCATTAAATTAAATCGTCAGAAAGAAGGAAATACTAGGGAGGAATTTGCAGCAAACGTAAGAGGGAAAGAGAGAGAGAGAGAAAGAGAGAAAGAAAGAGAGAGAGAAAGAGAGAGAGAGAGAGAAGACGAACTATTTATGTGATGCACCGGTCTGAAGAGGACCTACCGCATGAGTAGTCCGGTTGAGAGAATGGAATTTAGTTGGTAGGCAGGTAGCTATAGTTGCATCTGTAAGCACGACACTCCAGGGCATCCTTAACGGGACACAGCCTGGTACGGTCTTTAGAAGATTTACCACCTTCTTCTCATAAAAAAAGTCTTAAGTCTAGACTTTATGTTACATCCAGCCGATTTCTTTTTTTTTTGTGAATAAATCATTTACAGCTCTAAATCCACATTTAGCAAAATATGAAGATGGAAACGGTAGCAATAGTTTTTTTGCTCATTTGGTTAAATTTGGGTATTTGATTTCTGTTTCCTCACAAAACCTCGACATCGCTTTCTTTATAATAAATAAAATTTTAACTGACTCATCATAGTTCCCCAACATTGGCTGCAGAATACTTGTTGCAAAATCAATTTGTTTTAAACTAGAAAATCTTTCTGTTAAATCAGCTCATAGAATATGAAGTTATGAGTTACTTCACAGTTTTGGAGCCAACGAAACTGTTTAAAATTCTTGTTGTTCACATGTTTCTGATATAACTGAATATGGTTAATGAAACCAAATATCATCGCTTTTTCATCGATAAAAGTTTTATTTTGATCCTTAAAGTTACTTAAATAATATATTTTTTATGTTATTAAGCCACAATTATTTGACGTTTCGATTTCCACTCCGGAAATCGTTCTCAAAAAAGGGTTTTTTGTACAAACTATGTAAAAATGTGTATAGCCAAAGATTTCAATATTGGTTATGTCAATTCAAAGTTGACATTTTCGACCTAGATATTGTAAGTTAATAGACCCTAGTGGTTAAAAAACATTTTAAGGGTGGTATTATTAACCCTAGGAATATCAAATTCTGACTGCTTTTGTATGTTTCATGTTATATGTTTGTGTAAAAATTATCATAGTTGTGGTTGTGTACCGTAAATTAAGTAATTGATTTATTTATGTGTGTATTGTGTTTTGCATATAAGTATGCTGTATTTTACATTGTAGATGACGTGTTTGACCTCCTATTACTCAGCTATTGTTCGTATATTCTTGTTGTTGACTTTTTTTTGTAGTATTTTTCTGTGTCGTGTAGGATAAGGGCTGCTTCTTTGTTTTTCCTCTTTTTCATATCTGTTTCTTTCATGATGACTGAGGCATATTTCCATTGTGAACTGTGCTCGTTATCCCAGATATGTTTGCATATCTGGGATTTCTCGAAGTCTCTGTTCTTGATGTATGTTTCATGCTCGTTTATCCTGGCGTTTAGTGGTCTTGCTGTTTCTCCCACGCAGAAATTGTTTAATTCACAGGGTATTTTATATGTTTGTTATGCAGTTTTTTTATCTTTCTTGTATGTTGTTGGGTATGGTTTTGGACAGGATGAACATTAGTGTGTTGGTTGTTTTTAATGTTGTTGTGTTGTTGTACTTGTTTTCTATTCTCTTCAGTTTTTCTGATAAGTCCTTTACATGTGGTATCGTTGTCTTTTTTGAGTTCATTCTTGTAAGTGTTTCTGGATTTTTAGTCACAACCTTTGTTAATTACTCTTCCTGAAATGCATTCTATCATATAGAGATTTGATGATTCGTTTTTTAGTATGTGATTTTCATCACAATCACAATAATTGTGGATTAGTTTTAAAAAAAATAAAGTATTTAACTTAACAATGCCACAAGAAAGTAGTTTCAGAACCTTGTTAAAGTTAATTATTTACTATATTTAGTTTTTCAAATGATATCGGCTAAATAACTCACAAATTTTTAACCATCAATTGTTGAAAGATATTTCATTTTAGGTTTGTCGCTTAAAAAATAACTAATAGTGGCAAACAGTACAATAAGTCTTTTCAAGCAGTTCCTTCTCGATATCAATATTACTTCATTAAGTATAAAGTTAAAGGCCTACGTGGTCTTAATTTTATTTTTCACAAAATAGCTTGAAGAGATGCTCACATTTA